AGTCAAACCAGATGCTGTTCAGTTGCTTTGGTTAAAATATATAAATATAAACTCTGGATTTATGATACTCATCATATCTATCACATCTCCAATTATCTCCAATGGAAATTCCTTTAGAAGCCAATCAAAAAAGTAACTTTTATATATATTATATATATAGAATATCTATCAGCCGTATTAATCTATACAGTCCACACTATTTTGTCTTATCTCTGCAATTGGAGGCAGGCAAAGTCAAACCAGATGCTGTTCAGTTGCTTTGGTTAAGCTGAAACTGTTAAAATATCGCTAAGGCAGAGCTGTTATCAGTGCGCTGCTCTCTATATGATGTGTCTATCTCTCACTCTCTCTCTCTCTCTCTCTCTCTCTCTCCCTTTTCTGTTCTCCCTGGCTCCAGCTACAACCCTCTCGATTTAGCTTTGTCTCTGTGTGTAACAGCATTTATGAACATGACGTGCATTTTTATGAGAGACAAACGCACGCTCCAATCTTTGTTTTTATAAATAATGATTTGCTTGTATTGGTTGGATGCTGCTGTGGTACCCTTTACCTCCCACTCTCTCTCTCTCCTATTCTCTCTCGCTCTGCTGCTCTGCCTGCTTCGAGCTTAGTAGCATTTTTGCAGTCGAAAACGTGTGACACTTGCGTCCGGCATGCGCTGGTGGAGACAAAATTAATTACAAAATACTCATAATTTAAAATTTAATACAAACGCTGTCATCCACTCAATTGCAGCCGTCCGCCGATGCGCACACAGCACAGGGTGCGCTGACAGCAGCAACAGCAACAGTAACAACAACAGCAGCAGCAGCAACAGTTGCTGCAACATCCGCGTCATCCACAGAAATTGAGCAACTGCAGCAGGCGCTGCTCGAGAAGCAAACGCAGCTCTACGCTTTGGAAACAGCTTGTCTGCGCGAAACGGAGCGTCAGGTGGAGCTGGAGGATAGTGTGATTGCGTGGCAGGACAAATACGATCGACTCTACGAGTCGCACAAGCGCGTGCAGAAAGTCAATCAGAGTCTGGAGGACAAAATGCTCAAGCTAGTTGATCGCAACACCAACGAGCGAGCGCAGCTCACCAGCGATGTGGCCACGCTCAGCGTGCGATTGGCCCAGGCCAACTTCAATATTGCCAAGCTGCAAAGGGAAATCGTGAGTAGAATGAATTTATATTCATATTGAATCATACAGCAGTATATATGAACACTGAATACTAAATGCGGGTCTTATGGGCTTAAAGTCTGTCGTTAGCATATGTCTTTGAGGTATTGAAAAGTAGAATCAGCCTCAAATTGGTATCAGGCATACATAAACACACGTTCTACATTCTGATAGACATTTTAGAGAAGTACTGGGATCACATTGAGTATAATAGATAGATGTACTTTATAAAAAATATGTATATAATTAACTATTCGTATAAATTAGTATATTTTAGATGACCAGGCTAATGTAGTGTCAAAAGTATGCCAAAATGAATTTCGATTAATTCCGAACATTTTTCCGAAAAATAAGATTGAAATTTAAGAGCTTCTCAAGTTGATTAATAAATAACGATAAGCTACTATATATATTTAAAAGTATAAACAGTAAAAAGTATATACATATTTACATTTAAAATATACACAATTTATGCTTATAAAAAATAACAGCAATATCGATCATTTATAAAAAATCTACTCTTAAAACAATATGAAAACATTGACGTAAAATTTCTATGATGATGAAAATCAATTGCTGTGAATATTTCCTCATTTTTGCACTGTATGTCAGCTTATTAAATATCTATAAAAGCTAAGTTGCTTAAAGAAAGCAGAATATCAATAAGGGCATACGCCTAGTAAATAGAATGAGCTAAACTTAAGCACTGGCTCAAGTACAGCTACACAAAAGCTCATATTAAACGAATTCAATTTAATTAATATAATTCGAATTCAGCAAATTTATGATCCGTCAATATTTTACGGAAAGCTTATGCGCCTTGCAAAAAGGATCCAGGACATAAAAAGAGTTTTTCTTGAATAAAAAACAAAGTTAAACTACTTAATAACACTACACTCCCGAACGAGTTAATTGCTTAGATACAAATTTAAAATAATAAAAAACTAAAGACTACGAAACTTCTTAGGTCAATTAAAAGCAATTTCGATTCATGCATAATATATATGTAGCTATTACCCACAAGATAGATAAAAGAAAGGAAAAAACACCAAACAATTCTCATGCTTTGTTAATTAGTGTAGCCTGATGAGAGCGGTGAGTGCGCCAGGGAAATTGTAATGCGCTTTTCAGCAGCATAAAAAATGCAGAGAAAAGCATCGAATTTGCGCCCGTAAGGCTGGCCAACTAATTGGTGGCCAACTTTTTGGATAGCTGTTACCAAAAGGGTGCGGAGCTTCGACGGGGACGAGGCATTCAACATTGGAACTTTAAGCTCCTGAAAGTCGCTTAGTAGAGCTAAACAAATGCAAGGCGGCAAAGCGTTCAAAACTAGAAACTTTTCCAATTCACTTTGGTTTTTTTGTTTTTGTTTTTTTTTTTTTTCTGCTTGCTTTTTGTATATTACGAAGCCAAACACGAAAAATATCTGCGCGAAAGTTTTCAATTAAGGCAAACAGTAAAACGCCATCGGGCCAAATGCACTTCAGCTGAGCGTGGCACAAGCTGGGCGGGAGGGGGAGAGCGAAGAGTGGGGCTTGGCATCAGGAAGCCTTTTAACGCACTTTTACTATAATCGGAGCAGCGTCCAGGCTGGGTCGAGGTCGAGGTATTTGTACTGGCGATAGTCCATGCTGCAAACAATTAGCGACCCATCGGCCAAAAGGGAATCTACAAAGTTGAGGTAATGGTTAATGGGTCTGCCCAAGTTGGCAACGTTTACACACACACACACACACACATACACACACAGTGCAAGTCTCTATATATAGAGCTGGTCAACTAACAAAGTGCAGCTTTATTTTTTATTTCTTTCATTAACTTGTTTTTGTCTTTGTCGCAAGTGTTGGCACAAATTAATACTTATAAAAGGAAAAAGGACATTTTCACCTTTTAAAAAGTTCCCCTCGAGGATTTTATTTTGTTGCGTTTTAAAGTGGAGAGGGTGTGTGTTGACTGATAGGAGAAGAGGTAGTGGAGCTTGGTAGTTGGAGGTAGTAGAGACTGTAGTAAATGTTGGTAGTTAGAGGTTAGACCAGAGGCATTAGAGCTAGAGGTAGTAGAGCCAGCAGTAGGAGAGCTTGGTAAACTGAGGTAGAGAGCGAGAGGTAGTAGAGCTTGGTCGGTAGAAACAATAAAGCTAAAGGTAGCTTAGTCAGCTTATATAGAGAGAGGTTTATGTCCTATATAGTAACTTTCAAGTATTTGAATTTGTAGCCACTGTTCTCTAAAGATTCTCTAGAGTTATCTTAGAGCTACATATTCATGATTCTTATAGTTTCTTAATATCAGTTCCAAAAACTAAACATGCTGTTTCACTTTCATTTTATTAGTTTTCAATTTTCACCTCGAGTCCAGCCATTTCCACTCACACTCCACCCCTAAATGTGAAATTCTCTTAAAGGAAACTCCCAGCTGATTCACTTTGGATGCTAACTAAAAGTATTCCAATACCTAGACGACAGTTCGCCCCTGGCAGAAAGTAATTTACCATATACCTCATATAGTATATGGTAAAAATTTCGTTGATTGCAGTTGGCTGTTGCTATTGCTTTTTGTTGTCTGTCGTTTGTTGCTGTTTTCGTGCGTTTGGGGCTTGGCGACAATGTCAATAACCTTTAGTCGTATTTTTGCGCTTTGGCCACCCTGCTCGGCCGGATGAAAAATCAGCACTTGGTCATGGACTGTCGCTGCGTCACGTGCCATCGTGAATTCCGTGCCCTCTATCTTCACTCTATCTCTTTCTTTCGTTCTCTCTCTCTCTCTCTCCCTCTGTATCTGACTTGCTCTATCTGCATCCTGTGTACCTTTGGCATGCCTTGGCCATGGATCGTTAATCTGCCGTTGGCTTTTTGCATGATAGCTCGGCATTTCCGTTGCAAAACACTTAGCCGTATGCCATAGTCCTCTGCTCGTCCTGTAAACTGTTGTCTATACTCGATCTCTTTCACTCTGTATGCGTGTGTGTATGTGTGTGTGTGTGTGTGTGTGTGAATGGGGCGTCGCTGTGTCCTGTAATCGCTTGCCATCCTTGACGGTTGTTGTGGGCTGTTATTGTTTACTGTTCAGCCCGTATGCAAAAAGATTTCACTCTCAAATACCCTGCAATCAGCTTTGAGTTGGAGGTTGCTTTAAAGAGCCATAACGTTTTCAAGCGAGTAAGTAGACTACTTAGCGGTCAATGGCTGCTGAATGCTGGCGGGGGGTGAAAGGCTGTGAAGGAGTTAAGTATTGCTGGCTGAGCATTGAGATTTCTGGGGGAAGTATTAAGTGAGTTTGCAGCTGACAGATTTCATGGAACAGGAGAATATCTATAATACTATATTTATATATATTTCAAGACTACTCTATAAAGAGTCTCCCACTATTCTTCAACATCTGCTCCCCAAAGTCCATGTGCTACCTGAAAATCCTATGGTATTTAGCTGCATGCTTTGCAGCGTTTTGTCCATGCCATATTCTTTGGTTTCGTTTGAATATTTGATGGGCACTGGCTTCTATTTTGATAGAGCCATAACCCTTGCCCGCCGCCTCCCCAGTCCCAGTGCCCCACCATGGTAATTCCCACTTGCATTAAACGCCGAGCAATTGTAAATATGCGGAGCCCCGTTGCGCTGCAATTGGAGCAGATAAAATGCAAGCGCACAGTTCACGTGGCAATCGCAATCGCAGAGCTAGCACCAGCGCCAGGGCTCGCGGCTCAGTCGCATTGATGTGTGGGCGGAGGAGTGTTTCCGTTTTACCCCATTCTCATTTGTTTTTTTGTTTTATTTCTTATTTCTTATGTTGCTTCCTCTGCCTTTGCCCGGAACCGGTGTAATTAATGTTATGTACCTGGCGGCATCTGTTTTGAGTGTTGTTCGCGCTGTTCACTTGTGCTTGAGTTGTGCAAGTCAAGACGGCGGCGTTGCCTCATTGTCATCTTCCATTTGAATGCGCGGCCCGAAAACTTTTCAGAGTACGCCCTGTGCAACGGTGCGTATAAGTGATTGCATTCTCAAGCTGCTTTCCTGCCATCCTGTTGCTCAAAACTCTGCCCCTCTCCCTGTTCGCCTCACACCTCAGCCTCTGGCTTAGGCGCCGCTGCTTGGGCGCTTGTTTTGGGCCTGTGTGCTTAATTTCTTAAAAGTTATTTACATATTTGCCTGATGTGGTTTCCCCAACTAAGCGAACGTGGCTTAGTTGGGCCTCCTCGGCACAGCTGCTGTTGTGGGCGTGGCTGTGCCACGTTCGTGTTGACTGATGGCTCTGGCGTCTAGCAGGATATTGGCCCAGGGATTTGTGAGTTTTGAGGTAAAGTGCTATTTGAGGCAAATATTGGAGCCTCGAATTAGCTTTATCTAGCAGCTAACAGGAGCGGAGAGACCGAGTGTGGTTGCAACAATTTCAAAAGTTTTATTGTATTTAAAGCCAGCATCAAATGGCTTTCGCTTATATTGCTTTTAAGTCAATAGCTTACTCGTTTATTTACTCGCCTCTGCCATTTTTTCTAGCTCTTATTCTTGCCTACTTTCGCTCATACTTAACTCGGCTACTTCTTTGTATTCTGTATTCAGTGTATTACTTTTGGTAGCAGTTCTTTGCCCTCTGTCTTTATTACTTCCTGTATAGCTTTTTTCGCTCTACCCCTTTCTAGCTGCTTTCCTCTTTCATGCGTCACCCTTCATTCCATTCCTCGATATATCTTTCATTCTTCCTTTATCTTTCTCTCTCTCTCTATTGCTATTTCGTTTCCTCTCTTTCTCTATCTCTCTCTTCTCCTCATTCTCATTCTCTCTGTCTTCTTCTTGCTCTCTCCTTATTTCATTCCCACTATCCCTCTTTCGCTCTCTCTCTCTCTCTATCTCTCTCTCATTTCTACTAGTTTTCCATGCTCTCACTCTTTTGATCTATTTTTTACTGATTTCTTTCACTCTGTCTTCTCTTTCGCTCCTTTTTCTATGTCCCTTCTTCTCTTCTCTGTTATTCATCATCAGCCTCTCTATGCGATTCAA